ATGTATCACTTAAAAGATCCAATTTTGTCTAGTGTATTTGTACGCGCCAAAACACGCATACGTTGTGCATACTTATACACAGGAAATGCATCTGTCGGCTTCTGGTGGCCAACCAGCATTGCACGATATTGCAAGGAGCTCAAGAATGCAAAGTCCAGTGAGGAGTTGGAAGAAGGAGGCTCTGCTGCCCCCCACGGAATTTCCTCAGTTTGCTGGGATGTTTTCCATCGAGAGAGTGTGAGAGTGAGAGTGTGAGAGATTGAGAGTGAGAGAGAGAGAGAGAGTGAGTGAGTGAGTGAGCGAGCATAAAAACGCAGCAGTGTGTGAAGGTGTGTGTATGTAAGTTTTCGGGGCCGTGTTTCCCCCATGCTTCTCCTTGCACCAGGGCCGCCTGGAGGTGCTGGAGCTGGCAGAGGGAATGCAGAACCAACATTCGAGGCGTTGGACATTTGAATTCTGCTGTACTGGCTTAGTGAGATGTGATGTGCTTCACCATTCAGAATTTTCCGCAATTTCCTGCTCGTCTTTCGGGGTCAGCGCGTCACACAGGAACCATCTGCGAAGAGTCGGAAGGGCAATGGACGTGGAGAAGATGCAGATGCAGAGAAGTCGGCGGAGAAGACTGCAGCCCGCCACAAAGCCCAGGGCTACGGGGCGGCAGGTGCGACATGGTGCGACATGGTGCAACTTTTATTTTTTTCCTGAGTCTTTTGGAGTTTGTGTTTTAGATTGACAGAGACTTCATGAGTTGGAAGGAGTCTCTCCTTCCAACTCATGAGCTGTGGGGTTGAAGTTGCCTTGCACATGTGCCTGGTGCTGGGTGCCCGGCCGTTGCAGGCAAGCTGACCGACCAGGACTTTGACGACATTATTGGGAGAATGACCAAATTGGGACCAGACGGAAAACCAGTTGTCCAGGCACGTCCGGCGAAATCAGCACTGCCAGATGTCTCGATCTGCCAACTTGACTGTCTTTGAACACTTCGAGTCCCTGCCCCTCATGAGGTCAGCAGACCAGCTCCTCAACCTGCCCCTGAAGGCCAGAGATGAAAGACTTGCCTTAAGCTGAAACGCTTGCCTAAAGGCCTAAAGCTGGACTTTCCCTGTCTTGAGGACTTCTAGGGTGCTATGCCCTGGGCAAAGAATGTGAGATGCAGATCATTTCTTCTTCAGAAGCCCTAGCGCTTTGCAATAATCTGCCTTTGCCAGCTTTGCCATCCTTCGCATTTTCTTGCATGTTTTGCCTCTTTCAAACCGCATGTTTGCAGTTTGCAGATGTTTACAGGTGCAGAGCAGTCACCATCACTGCGGCCATCTCCAGCGCCAGACGTAGAGCGCAAGCCCTTGCAGCTCACGACAGTCAGGGTCCGAAGGAGCCTAGCTGTCTCAGCATCTTCGCTTTACAATCATGGACAATCAGAGAGCATCGGAAGTAAAACACAGAGTGAGTGTTAAACTACGAGGCTATGAGGCTTCAAAAGTCAAGCAAGAAAGCAGAACAGCGTTCAATCTGAGGCCAGCAAATCGCAGCAAAAGCACGATGTCGTCTTGCAAGGTAGCATCCGATCGATGCCTTCCTAGTGTTATGCACACATTCTACATGTACATCATGCACCATGTATTGAGCGGCTTTGAACACACAATCCGCCGTCGTGCCATTCATTCCGAGTTCATCATGCCAGAGATTACCTGAGAACATTCCAATCGATCTGCAGTCCAAGGCCATTCCAGGCCAGTGACGTACCTCACCTTCGATGATTCAGGCAAAGTGCTGTACACGTGTGGCAAGGACACTGCTGCATTACGGCGGGCAATGCAAAGGCAATGGAAAAGGGCTTCTAACATTTTGGAACGTAAAGTGCCTGAAGATGCTCCAAGCATTTCCTGCTAGGACAAGCTTGTCATTGCTTGGAGTGTGCCAGACGGAGAGCCAGAAACCTATACACTCTCTTATCATGGCCAGCTTGTTTGCCTTTTGCGACATGCAGAGAGCAAAGCCACAAGATTCCACCGATACCAAGCACATGAATTGCAAGTTACACAGACAAGCCTTGAAGGTGTTTGCGCAAATACGAGGGGCACAGGCGAATCTTTAGATTCTAGTAGCTCGAACTCAGCTTGAGCATGCCATCAGCATGGGCGTGATTCTGTTGCTGGTTTCTGTATGTTCCTATACTGTTCTGGGCGTTTTAACACTTCCTCTCTGGCAGGGGTGCTGTATGGGCATGCTCTGTCTTAAACAACGATGATGGGAGTCTACTTCTGACCTGTGGAGCTGACAACTATGTTCTCCTTTGGCAGGCCGGCCAGCAAGCAGAGCAATTAACAATGATGAATCACCGGCTTTTTTTTTAAAGATATAGAAGCATGTGCAAGAAGTCATTGCAGTAGACCAAGCTGGATCAGCACAACATAGCACAACACATTTCCGCACAGCGCTTGATTTCAGCTTTCCTCGCGATTACCTCCAACCCGTGAGGCAGAGTCTGCAGAGATTCTATGTCAGGTGGCTCGATGCTGTGGTTGGACTCTGTGGGAGATTTTATACTTTTGGAATCTTTTGGATATTCTTAGATCGGGCGGGTCACGACACAGGAATTGTTTTCTACAGATTCTGGATCGGTAGTTTATGTCTATATAGTGGGGTATACTACATTCTGACCTTATCATGGAATGATACTGTATCATAATTGTGTTATATATATAGTGTCATAGTGTATACATGTTATATTCTCCCCCACTTAGGCTTCATATGCAAAGAATGCATGTACATGTCAGTTACACAATGTGACAAACAGATACAACCAGTTCAAAATGTAAAGATGCTTAGAGCATTGTAATTTACAATGCATTGTAGGAGAATTAATTTTAGCAACTACAAGCCAACCAAACAAAGATTATCACCACAGTTCACAACATATCACAACAAAGTTTTACCATAACAATACATAGCAGGACCGTAAAGGACAATTCTGTACATAATATCCCCCATACATTATATGCCCACACTACATTTCAACACCACAGCTCTCCATACTATACATCAGAATACGACACATGAGATTGCTAACCACAAACTCATCATATGTCCCAGTACTGTTTCCACATCCCCCTACATTCTTTTTCAGCAGATAGCCTTTTCACTCCCCGGTACTCCAAGAGGCAACCTCAACCCAGAGGACCTCTAGAGAATGGAATCCCTGGTATGGTTACTCTCATTGTGTTCTTAGGAACATTAGAAAAAGTACTCTTTAATTTTACAAAGCGCCCTTTTTCTTTCATTTTAGGTATACGGCTGTATACGCATTACTTTATTTTTTCTTTGGATCTCTAGAGATTCACAGTCTTTGGGGTTAGATATAAATTATATAAACCTATTGGATGTGTAGAATATTGAAGCCCCTGGGGCGGGTTATATGTGGTTTTAGGCTTGCACTGAGGTAGGATAAAAGTGGACCCCTGGTGATTTGATTTTCTACAGGAGAACGAGGTATTTACCTTTTTTTAAACAAAAACTTGTGCACCAACCCCCGGCATCTAGCATTTTCTAGAGATATGTCCCTTCTTGGGGGGCCGAAGACTAATTTTCTGGATGTCATCTTGATCTTGCCCCCATGACTTCAATACTCTAGGGGCATTTTCGGGGGGTGGGGGGTGGGGGCACCTGTTGTCTATCCAGAAAACAGTGTAGTCGGCGGGGTATGTATCAGCTTAATTTAAAGGATTTGAAGGAAGATACTTTTAGATACTTTTAGTATTTTTTTAGTATATTTCTATCAAAGGGCAGTTATTTGGCTCCTGAGGGACAGTGATCAGGCTAGGAAATTCATGGAAATTCAATACTTGTGCTGCTGCAACCCTCATATGATTTGCCAGGTTGAGCTACCTGGCGTCGTTCGGTGTGTGGAGTGGTGCTCCCATTCACTTAGCCTCCGCTTTGCTTGCTGCTGCAATGGCTTCAAGGCTTGTGAACTGTTTTGCTTCCACACATTCAGAATGTGTTGACACTGCTGAAAAATATTATCACATTGTGTCAGGCAAAGCCAGCGGCAATCGAAGTTTGTGAATTCATCAACATCCAGGGTGTGGGAGACTGAGAGTCTGAGAGTAGAGAGAAGGTATGACCAAATCATGACCAGATCTTAATTCAACTGATTGGGTCATAGAACTTCTTGCAAGGCCATGACTTCCAGATGCTGTGCCTCCATTGCAGTTCCAAAGCAGGGGCGCTCAGATCAATCAGGTTGGGTTGCATTCGATAGGTGTCTTTCGGCCCTTTTGAAACAACTCAATGATACCAAATAAATGCACATTTCGATACTTGCGAATCCGTTGCGGGGTTTGAAATCAAGGCTGCCATCTGCAGCCACCCAAGTTGCTTGGGCTGGTCCCTATAGAGAATGGCTGTGCTCTGTCCATGTATCTCGGCCTCATTTTGTGGGGACCACCATCTGAAACTCTCCACACCCTCTACACTCGCAATTTGAGAACCATTTCGGACTGATTTCGGACCCTTACAGATCTTTTGTTTTTCTTTTTGTTTTTTTACACCGAGCCTTGAGGAAGCCGGCCTGGTGGTTTTCTGGGATGCAGTTACTGGGTCGGAGGTGGCACGATTACCTGCCCACGAGGAGATCCTGGTGAATTGCCATTGCCTTGCCTTGTTGAATGAGAAAACATGGGAAACATATGCAGTAGAATTTCTAGATCTTTCTAGACGTTTAGACTCTTACGGAACTTATAGAAGCATGTTGATTTGCGTGAAGACTTCGAATAGGGAGGCCCAAGAGCGACGGACATGTGTTTTCTCCATGTGGCACCGATGCATGAACACGCACGATATGATATGATATGATATGATATGATATGATATGATATGCTATGTATGTATGTATGTATATGTTGGTGCGAACTATTCACAGCACACAAGTAGAATGTCAGTTATTTACATTATTGAACTTGGCAATTGCTTGGGTGAACTTGGACCCCCCTTTGCGGCCCGCAGCTTGTCTGTCGCCCATGCAGGATGCCGTTTCCAAGATTGCCATCCCACATTCTGATGGCAGACTGCTGGCATCATGCGGGAGACAAGACATGGAGGCGGGACAGCCAAGTTGACACAGTCAGAGGCCAGTTGGCAACGGGGGATGAGGCGGCTACCCGACTAACAGTGAAGTCATCATGACTACTGTAGTAGTTACATCTAATTACTATATATCCAACTATATATTCAAGAATGCTTCAAGAATGCTTCAAGAATGTTGAGGATGCTGAGGATTGAAGTGAAACACTGTGAAGATGTGGAAGTGCTTTGCTTGTGCCCAGAGGATATCAAAAGATTCTGTAACTTTGAGCAGACCTGGCAGCGCAGGTGCGGCTTTGGTGTTTGGCAAGGCCTGAGAGTGATGATGAGGAGAGTGACTTTGATGACATGGGAGGCCCGCGGGGAGATGCATAACATGCTAAAAGCATCCAAAAGCATCCAAAAGCAATCATCGGAATCATCGGTCCATCTAACACCTTGGTGACATTTGGTGACATCCACTCCTGCCAATGTCTAGGCACATGGGCAACGTAAATCTTGGCTTTTGGGAGCGGGTGTGGGTTTGGGCAAAATTCGCTTTGCAGGTGGTAAACCGACACCGGAGCTGATGCGGAACTTTACATGTGACCGCCCACTCAATTGCGTCGCAATTAGGCCATCGTTTCTCAGTGGCAGGTGGCTCTCGGCAAAATATCATCGTTTTGCTTCACTGTCACACAGTATGGGCAAAAATATGTCCTTGTTAAGCAACAATTTTGATTTGTTTTGCAAACTAAGGCTTACTTTCCAGCAAGCAGCTGCAGAGGAGCAGGTATACTGAATATGATGTAATTATTATATATATATATATATTATATAATTACTCTAAGAGGGACCGAGGCAACTTGTTTTCTTGATGTTCTTTCGCCCTTCCCACCCCCGTTCTCCTACAGTCTATCTGCCATGTTGCAGGCATTTTTCAGATTTTTCAGTCTCAACACATTTGTTCGCTGATATTCTGGTTGTTCTTGTTGACTTATTTGACTTTAAAACTTACTTGAGCGATAGCTGGAGGGTCTCGCAATCTTCTCAACTTTGTGAGCTGGGCAGGATGCCGAGGGCAGCTGCATGCTGCTAGCAGGTGGTGGCCAGGATGCCAGAGATGTGGCCCTGGTTGAGGTGCCTTAGACGGCATTAATGCGATTTTAATGTGACAAAATGTGACAAAAGGTCATGCTATGTCATGCTCGTGTGATGCGTGCGGGTCAAGAAATCAGAAGGAATCCATTCTTGCAATATAATGCAAGGCTGTGCCAGCCAACAGTTCATGGAGGATTTTGGGTAACGGATAGTTGTACTTGCATTCAGGCAGGAACTGATGTTGATCAGCCGTGGCCATAGTATGCTTGAAACGCTGGCTTTGGTGTTCACTGGGTCGCCAGCCGGTCCTGTCGTGAAAGAGCTGCACTGACTGCAGATTGGGGATGCTGTGAATAGATAGCACAGGAACAACCTGCAAGCAGCCAGAAGCATTCTTGAATTGTGAGGTTTGAGCCGATACCACTGAGATTTGCCCGCACTTCTACTGCAGATTCTGTGGTTCCCCTTGGCAACATGGCCGCAACTATCCGCAGACGAAAACGGATGGTTTCTTTCCCGCGGGGGAATTGATAAACAGCACATTCAGGCTTCGATACATGCACTCTTGCCGTTCGATTTCGATCCGTTCAACCGTGTCCAAGATCAAACAGATACGGACAGGTTTGGAGCATTATCCTGCTGAAGGAGCGCGAAGGCCTCAGCCATCAGCCAAAGATGTAAGGGCCTGCAGCCTGGGAAAGATTCAGAATTGATGTTCACACGTTGCCCCAGTGGCGACAGCACTTAGAGATGGCGTGATTCACAGCAATACAACTAAGTATATGGGCTAAAAAGGACGGGCACAGATATGTTCCGTACGGTGCAGCCTCCAATGGGTGTGTTCCACAGATCATTTGATAGCACATCAAGCGGAGCAGTTGATGCGTTGTGATCATTCATAGGCTCCTCATAGAAAAAGGAATGGACGGAATGGAAAGAAGATCCTGGTTTACTACCAAGGCAGCTTTGACCCGCACTTTTGATGCCAAGGTGGGACCCCAAGAGCCGAAAGGGAGGCCATTTTGGCCCGAAACTCAGCCTTCGTGATCTGTGCTACCCGAAGATTTGCGTTTATTTTGGACATGCACTTCACTAAAATTTGGGCATCGTGTACTTTTCGTGCCCCTTCTTTCGAAAGGTACTGCTCAAGCTTTCCTCCTTTCCTTACACATTCTTTGCATATTGTTAGTTTCACCGAGGGCCTTTGCATGCTTTGGCTTTCAGTCCAGATGCTGCTCAGCAAAAATAAGTGAGCCAAACCTGGGAGCGATCCCGGATTCACAGAGAATTTGCCATGATCGTGCACTTGTGGCGGCGCACTGTGTGCATCCTTCGCACACATGCAAGAGGTAACATCTCAGCTGGGAAGACTAAAGTTCTTGGTGTTCTCCACATGTTGCATGTATTTAGACGGGGACAAGGGATGAACTGGGGCAGTGGATTCGCTGAGGCAAAGCTGTGTGCCAGTGGCTCTGAGGATGGAAATGTTAGGTTGCGAGAGCTGCTCTGATGTCCCTGCGGGGTGCAAAATCGTTTAGCTGATTGCTCTTCATCAAAGCATCTTCAATACAGCAAGCATTTGAGCTTGACTCGATTGTATTTATGTGTCAAATTTGCGAGCCACTGGTTTCAAAAAACAAGCCTAGCAGGCCTAGCAGGCGTTCTTTCGTTCTGACCGCCCGATCCGTGTTGGCCTGGCTGCTTGGAATATCTTGGAATGGAGCATTTCGGTTCATTTTGAAGTTTTTTTTGCTAGAAAGTATAGAAAAGTATAGAAAAGTTCCACAGCTCAAAAAGCATTTCCACCTGCAAGACATGCACTTGAATAAGACCAGGGGCAGGGTTGCACATATAACGCTGTGGATGATGAGCACCAGCAAGATGCAAGTGCACCTTGAAGTCACGTTGTGACCGTACATAATGACGCGGAGCAAATATTTTAATGACGCGGAGCCTTCAGCATTCATGACATCTAGTTAGTAAAGAAGCCGCGCAAGGCAAAACTGGACATAACTGGACGTACCGCCGGCGGCATTTCTGCCGCCCAATAGTCTTGCATAATATTATGATTATAACATAGACCCGGGCAAGCCGGCGGCGGAAGTTTCCCAAAAATAAATGACCTATAGTTCAAAGACACCCTGTCCCGACCGTGTCCTTCCCTCGACAACCGTTTGATTTTTTCAGCGAGAGACGAAGCAAAGTCTTCACACTCCACACTCCACGCTTCACACTGCACTCTTCGCACTCCAAACTTCAAACTTCACACTCCACACTCCACACTTCACACTGCACTCTTTGCACTCCAAACTTCAAACTTCACACTCCACACTTCACACTTCACACTTCACACTGCACTCTTCGCACTCCAAACTTGAAACTTCACACTCCACACTTCACACTTCACACTTCGCACTTCACAGTCCACACTTCACACTTCTCACTTCTCACACTGCTTCCTTCACACTCCAAACCTCACACTTCACACTTCACACTGCGCGCTTCGCACTCCAAACTTAAACTTCACACTCCACACTTCACACTCCACACTTCACACTTCTCACTTCCCACTGCTTCCTTCACACTTCACACTTCACACTGCACTCTTCACGCCCCACACTTCACACTGCTCTAAACCTACGTGCAACAAAAAAAGCACTAGCGCCAAAATGGAGCAAATCTGCTAACAAATCCATTTCGTAACCTTCATGCAGCCACTCCAAGACGATGTACGAGATCCAGCTGCAAAAGACATTACGCATGCAGCCACAGCATGAAGCAACCTTGACGCAGCCATTCCAATGCGATCTGCGGAGACTGAGTTGCAAAACACAAGAGAACTACGCGCAATGGCATCGGAAATTGTAGCTCAAAAACCGGGATCTCGACGCCTGAGCGAAAAAAAGACGATTTTGAAGCACTTTTTAAAAGGATTTTTAGAAGGAAAATCACTGGCGCCAAAATGGAGAAAATCTGCTAACAAATCACTGTCGCAGCCTTCATGCAGCCACTCCAATACGATTTACGAAGTCCAGCTGCAAAAGACAATAGTATTACGCATGCAGCCACAGCATGAAGCAACCTTGACGCAGCCATTACAATGCGATCTGCGGAGACTGAGTTGCAAAACACAATAGAACTACACGCAACGGTCGGAAATTGTAGCTCCAAAACCGGATCTCGACGCCAGAGCGAAAAAAAGACGATTTTGAAGCACTTTTCAAAAGGATTTTTAGAAGGAAAATCACTGGCGCCAAAATGGAGAAAATCTGCTAACAAATCACTGTGGCAGCCTTCATGCAGCCACTCCAATACGATTTACGAAGTCCAGCTGCAAAAGACAATAGTATTACGCATGCAGCCACAGCATGAAGCAACCTTGACACAGCCATTACAATGCGATCTGCGGAGACAGAGTTGCAAAACACAATAGAACTACGCGCAACGGCGTCGGAAATTGTATCTCCAAAACCGGATCTCGACGCCAGAGCGAAAAAAAAGACGATTTTGAAGCACTTTTTAAAAGGATTTTTAGAAGGAAATTCACTAGCGCCAAAATGAAGAAAATCTGCTGACAAATCACTGTGGCAGCCTTCATGCAGCCACTCCAATACGATTTACGAAGTCCAGCTGCAAAAGACAATAGTATTACCAATGCAGCCACGGCACGAAGCAACCTTGACGCAACCATTTACACTGCGGGAACGATCCTACAGTTGCAAAGCACAATGGAATTCCATCGGCAACTCATCCACCAGCACCACTTGCAATCCCATTTACATTGCGGGAACGATCCTACAGGTGCAAATCACAATGGAATTCTGTTGACCACAAATGC